TACTGGGTTATACTGGGTTATACTGGGTTACACTGGGTTATACTGGGCTGTGCTGGGCTGTACTGGGCTGTACTGGGTTATACTGGGTTATACTGGGTTATACTGGGTTACACTGGGTTATACTGGGCTGTGCTGGGCTGTACTGGGCTGTACTGGGTTATACTGGGTTATACTGGGTTATACTGGGTTATACTGGGTTATACTGGGTTATACTGGGTTACACTGGGTTATACTGGGCTGTGCTGGGCTGTACTGGGCTGTACTGGGTTACACTGGGTTATACTGGGCTGTGCTGGGCTGTACTGGGCCATAGAGGCCTGTACTGGTTTGTACTGGTTTATACTGGTCTGTACTAAGCTGCAGCACCTCGCACTGGTTTATGCTTGTCTGTACTGGTTTGAACTGGTTTATTATGGTCCATACTGGTCCGTACTGGTTTGTACTGGTCCATACTGGTTTGTACTGGTCCATACTGGTTTGCAGCACTCATGGTGGCCAAAACTGCTTTGTACTGGCCCATACTGGTTCATACTGGTCTGCACTGCCCCGCACTGCTCTATACTGGTCCTTACTGGTCTATACTGGTCCATACTGGGCCCCCGCGCCCATACTGCTTTGCAGCACTCATGGTGGCCAAAACTGCTTTGTACTGGCCCATACTGGTTCATACTGGTCTGCACTGCCCCGCACTGCTCTATACTGGTCCTTACTGGTCTATACTGGTCCATACCAAGCCCCCGCGCCCCCCCGCTTTCTGATTGGCCGCCGCCCCTCTCGGCCCCGCCCCTGTTGCCGGGCAGAACGGGCGCGCACAAAATGGCCGCCACCTCCCCACGTGACCGCGCGTTTCCCGCGCTGATTGGCCCTGCACCGCTCTGCCCCCGCCTCCCCCTCGTCCGCAGCGACCAATCAGCGCCAAGTCACGCGCGGGGTGGGCGGAACGGCCGGGTGGGGGGGCGGTGCAAGGCGCTCTCAGAGTGGGCGGGGCTTCGTAAGATACCGACCAATGGGAGCGCGGCGCGAGCTGGGAAGGCGGGATTTCGTGAGGCGATCACCAATGGGAGCGCGGCGCGCTTCGTGGTGGGCGGGGATTCCGGAGGCGCCGACCAATGGGAGCGAGGCGAGCGCGGGCGGCGGCCAATGGGAGCGCGCGGGGGAAATTTGAAGCGGCGGCGGCGGCGGCGGCGGCGACAGAGAAGGGCGGCGGGTGAGGGAGGGGCGGCGATTTGGGGCGTTTTAGGGGCGATTTTTGGGGGTCCCGAGGGGATCTGGGGGGTCCTGAAGGGATTTCTGAGGGGAATTGGGGGGTCCTGAGGGGGATTCGGAGGGAATTGGGCGGCTCTGAGGGGGGAAGAGGCTGAGAGAGCGGAAGGGCTAAG